GCTTCCCCCGCTAGCGCGCCGGCTCCCGGCTGGCCCTCAGCGCTCGCCGACTGGATGAGGAAGTTAGCTGTGCTCCCTTTGATAACAGCTCACGGAGGGGAAAGGAAAAAAAATCTGTCCTGTGGCAAGTTACCGTCAACTTTAGTCAAAAAAAACGCTTCTTCCAAATTGCAGGTTAAATGGGAATTAAATCCATTCTGCCTAACTCTCTCAGCTGTGGTATTTTTTTTTATTTCTAATTCTTCCTGGTATCCTAATAGGACAGGATCTACTACTGAATAGCTTTATTACTTGAAATATGCAGCAGAGACCAAATGACATCAACCCACTGTACAAGTGAGTAGGAATTTGGTCCTATGGCATAAGAACTGGAGATTACGATATACTGTAATTTCCCTTTATAATAGAAGGCTTTCTTAAATTTGGGTAAGAAGAGACCGTTAAGGCCTTTCAGAGGTTAAATAAAGCACCTCAGAAGACAGCTATTGTAAATGGATTCTTTCAATTATCTTCCTAATTACCCAGGAAGATACATAAGAACAGGCTTTTGTAAGTTTTCTTAAAGTCTGAAGTGCATAGGCTTGTTTGCAGTATTTTGAATTCTTTGTCATGGCTGGACTGCTTACCAAGTTCTTTGTGCAACCTGTGGTGATTTGGTTATGAGCCAGCACTCTAAATCTGTATTAAATAAAGTTAATCTCTTATTTAGCCTATACTTTTAATATGTATTCTTCCAGCCACTAATGTGAAACTGGGCCAAAGCAGAGGTTTGTAGAGTTTTACCTACAAACCTAGTTTAGTTTTACCCAGCTACATCTGTTCAGAAAAAGGAAAAAAAAAAAGCATAAGAATGTGACAAAAATATTTTAGGCCTAAGTCTGAAGATCTTCTAAAAGTGCTGCTAATATGATTTTGGCTAACTTAAAAGGTAGTGCTAGTTCATGTGGGAGGGCCAGAGTCATTCCTGGACTTGGAAAACTGAAATCCTTTTAGCTCCACCAAACTTAATCAGATTATCTGTAATAACGCCTGGTCCTGGTTTTTTAACAGGGGTTTCAGAGCTACTTAGTTGGGCCTATGGATGCTTTCTCTAATCTTGGGAAATAATGAGCGAGTTTGGCAAACTTGCATCTCTGTCAGTCCAAAAGTTCTCTCTCTTCTCTCCTTGTGAGAAATTTGGCCACTGTTTGGAGAATGGGATGGGAGGTTGTCCTGATTGTGATTGATTTGCGTGTTTGTCTTATCTGCAGGTAAATATCAAGGGATACATCCGGAGAATAACAAACTAAAAAAAAAAAAAAGCCTCAGTAGAGTCAAATTTGTTCTCTGTTTTCTTTTTCTGTGGAAAAAGAACAGTTGTTATTTGTGGGTTCTTTCGGGCAGGGCATCCCCTATATGGAAAATCTATGTAACTACAAGTACACTTTTTTTTTTTCCTCTCACAAAAAAAGTCTGGGTAGGAGATAATGTGGCTGCAGCATATTGTACTCTGGTTATGTCTTTCTAGTTCAACAGCTTACAAAATACCTTACTCTGCACTTTTCAGGAGCAGAGAATGAGATTTTCTTCCCTGTCAGGGCAACAGGCAAGACGTGCAGCTGAAGGTGCATGGAAACAACGGTCATGTTTGTAATGATAGCTGCAATGCTAGTATTCAGAAGAAATAGGTTGAGTTATTGGGCTGGCGCAGCAGTGATTTTATCTTACCCAAGTGAAAGTCTGGAATAGACCAAAATGCTATTGACTTCTGTTGTCATACAGATTTCAGAATTTACAGTAAGAAGTGACTGTTCCTGCAATACCACTGTTTCAAAATGTCAGCATGAAAAAAAGCCACTGTGCACAATGCTGAGGAGATAATACCTGTGGTTTCTATTTAGTGCAAGTTTGAATCATTTCACAGTTGTACAAAGCAGACAAAATTACTTAAAAATAAAAGCCAGTTTGTAAAAAGCTGCTCTGTAGAAAGAGACTATATTCGTTTAGTGTTGTTAATAAATTCGCTTGCACATTCAAATAAAATTCTTAAGTTTTTGAAGAAACATACACTGCATCTAACACAGTGCATCAGATTTCACTGTCAGCTCTGAGGTTAATTTAGTTCTTTTCACTTTAGCAATTCCTTTCTCTGTTATGTATTGCTGTAGTGTAACTTTTGCCAAACAGTATTTCAAAATCCAGCAAAATATAAATGTTAGGGTACGAACTAAGACTGGCTTATGACTTTAATCTCATGTCTAGGTTCATTACACTTGCTTCTAAGAAATGAGAATTTATTAAAGATTCACTGCAACTCATCCAGTTATTTTGCATGATTTGCAAGGGGGAAAAAAAACCCAAAAGTCAAACTGAAGCACTCATTACCAGTTGCTAAAAAAACATATATATAAATATATATATATCCTGCAAGGCACTCAGCATTAGGTAGCCTATTCTGAGAAGCTCAACCTCAGTTCACAATGAAACTTGCTTTCATTAGTCTTAGTAATATGGAAGAAAACCCTTTTGAGTGATCTAAGTTGATCTAAATCCTCTTCATCCATTCACCCTCGTGCAGCTTTTTTAGACTTTATAACTACGTCCACTTGAAAATGTAACGCCAAGTCTTTAAGTGAATAGGAAGGAGAAGGTGGAAGGCCTGGATATCCTAATTCTGGAGTATTATCCATGATATTCAAGTGATGACCATGTGAATTCTAAGTTATCTTCTATGATGCAATACATTCTGTCACTTCAGTTTGCAGGCCAGGGCTTTAGAAATACTGTGGCAAGGCATCTGAACTAAAATTCCTACTTTGTGGATATTCCACATCCTGCCTCCGTCTGACACTATGGTACTTGAACAGCTATGATCCCCTGTTCTGAGTTATTCTTTCTCTTCCAGTGTCTCTATTTGAGACATTATGTCTCTCTTTAAGAACTTCAGAGAATTTTCTTGCAACAGATTGTGATCTTAAACATTGATTTGATGATCACATGCAACTTGCATTAAATACCAGATCTAGCCCATAGGGTATACTATAATTAAAATTTGTACTATTTCTCATCAGTTAGAAATGTATTGCTATATTTTCTTGAGCATGTTCTGCCTTGTGTAATTATTCCTATTATCTTTATTTTGTAGAAGCATTAAAAGAAATAGATGATGTCTATGAAAAATACAAGTCAGAAAATGATCCTGTTCAGAAAAAACGCTTGCAGCAGCATCTTCAGCGTGCGTTAATCAACAGCCAAGAACTTGGAGATGAAAAAATTCAAATAGTTACTCAGATGCTAGAACTGGTAGAGAACAGAGCTCGGCAAATGGAAACACACTCTCAGTGTTTTCAAGATCTATCTGAGAATGAAAAGCCTCTAGAAAAGGCAAAGATGGAATCCTGCCAACCAGAGAGATCTTCACGTCGACCCCGTCGCCAGCGAACCAGTGAAAGCCGCGATCTGTGCCATATAGCAAATGGTATTGATGACTGCGATGAGCCACCTAAAGAAAAACGATCCAAATCTTCCAAGAAGAAAAAACGCTCCAAAGCCAAACAAGAGAGGGAAGTTTCACCTGTAGAATTTGCAATTGATCCCAATGAACCAACTTACTGCTTATGTAACCAAGTGTCTTATGGCGAAATGATAGGATGTGATAACGAACAGTGTCCTATTGAGTGGTTTCACTTCTCATGTGTTGGACTCACCTACAAACCAAAGGGGAAATGGTATTGCCCCAAGTGCAGAGGAGATAACGAGAAAACTATGGACAAATGTACTGACAAATCAAAAAAGGATAGAAGATCGAGGTAGTGAACGCAATTCGTGTTTTAAAGAGTTGCTCCTTTTATATTAAAATGTTTAATTTCCAGAGAACGCTGTTTTAGGAAATGCATAAGACTATGCAATAATTTTTAATCTATAATATTATAGGAGTATTAAAAGCTGTCATACCTTCTGTGATCTTTAACTTTCTGCACTGAATAACCAAATAGTTGAGACAGGGTGGCTTCAGACCTTCACAGAAGACATTACAAGCATATGGCTCTTGGTTTCAATTTAACCCCGTTAGTATTTTAAAAAACCTTGTGAGTCTTGAAATAATGGTGGTGGGAAAGATACTGAAGAACTTCTCATGTTATGGGAAATTCATTGAGTTCTTCTGAAGCACCTCGCATAACTGTTAGGATCTTAACAACTGAATTTGTTTGGTATCCCAGGTCTTAAAAGTTTTCGGCTTTTGTGTTAACATCACATATTTGGAATTGGGGTTTTTGAGTTCAGCCGTAACTGTACATAAAAGTCTTCCGAGCTAAAACCAGACCTCTTCAGTGACTTTCATATGACCAGTATGTTATTTCAAGGAAGAAAATACCACTAACTTATGCTTTTTATGTCAATATTAAACTCTTGTCTTGGTGACTTTACATTTGGGAGTCAGTTTCTGGATATGTTAGCAATTAAGGTGTATAAGTAGTTTTGGATGTTCTTACTGGGTTTTGTTGGGGTTCTGCTGAGCGTCCTAATGTGGTCTTTATTGGTTAAGATACTATCTCTAATGCTGAAACCACTTCCTTGATCCTCTTCTGTCTTGCCGCTGCCTATATAAGTCTTGAAGCGGTAGAAGGATCCCTTGAGAGGGGATGCTGACCTCTTGGGGATCAGAGATTGCAAATGTGATAACAATTGTCATCATCATAGACCTGTAGAGAGCTGAAATTTGTGCTCTCTGGGATATAAACTTTGCTTTTCCATCAGTGGTAGTTAGATAGTGTGTGGCCATGCCTGGGTTTAGGCATAGCACCATAGTTCTTGGGCTTGGGCAACTGGCTAAAAAGCCTGAAGGCAAGAGCCTTTGCTAAAAGCTTTGATAACAAATAATAAAAAAGAAAAGAAAAATATAAGCATGACTAGCATAGAGCCAGTGGCCAAATCTGAGCAGGTATCTGACAGATTAAGTAAGTGGTGTCCTGAAGTATGCTAGTAGTGTCAAAACCCTACTTGGTTGGTAGTTAAGGGTGCACTACTTAACCCCTTCCCCCTAGAGATGGCAGAAAAGTATACAAACAGCTGTTTCTGCTCCTTCGTAATGCAAATAGTTGATAGAGGAAAAGTGAACGGTGGTCCCAGGTGCATGGAAGCTTGCACAGAGGGTTCCTGCTCAACAGCCTTCTCCCCAGCGTCTCAGCAGGACTGGCAGAGCAGCTCTGCGGTGCCAGGTGTGGGTGCTCAGAACCCCTGATAGGGCTCTGCTCTGCTGCTAAGGTCTCCCTTGAGAGCACAGAGGAAGAAGTGACACCATCTTTGGCCAAGCCTAATCGAAAAGCAGTTATGCGGAGTTGAGAGCAGTCTGGAAGGCAGACTTTAGCTAAAACAAGCTGTGATGGATGAATAACAGCAAAACTCTTCCTGCGTCCCCACTAGAGGGCTGTGCTAGTATAGCTGTGACTGCTGGGGCTGGAGGGCTAGGCACACTGCACTTAAAAAAGGAAAGCCTCAGTGCTGTTGGGCCAGATGGTATGAATCAATGTGCTGGTCTCTAAATATTATAAGCTACATAAAATAGTGAGCCTATTTTGACAATTAGGATCTGATTCCTTAACAGGATTTAGCATTTGCAAGTGATTCTGTAGTTAACATATGGCAGGGGAATGTGAAGCTGGGGTTCAAGTCTTTGCTCTAAAATTTTATTTTCATGAACTGGAATAGCTATACTGGGGAGATCTGCAACACAGTAAGCAACAGCTGTTGCAGAAAACCACAGGAAGAGCTCTGACCATCAGCAGGATAGGAAAGAACTTAAGCCTTTATCCCAAGACTGTGTCTCACTTCCTAGGCTGTTGGCTATTTGAGTTTGCAAAGATAGGCTTCTTGAGGGGACTGGATCATTGTTACCGGCTTTGTATGAGAGTGATGCGGCCGGTTGCTTGAGGCAACTTAAGTCTTAAGTATTCCTTTGCACATTTTACTCCTTGTTCAACTTGTTAAGGTTTAATGATTCTTAAATTTTCTTCTTGGGAAGATACTCTGGAATACTTGGACTAGGGACTGTAAGTATCAGTATCTAATGTCTACTTAAAATGGAGATGCTTTCTAGTATTAGAAAGACCCACTTAAGGACTGAAGTTGCAGTAGCAAATTTACAAGTGAAATTGTATCCATTGATGTTACAAATGTATCTTTTGAAAGTATGCACGAATTGGCTAAATAAGAATACTTTTTTCGAGGCAGATGAAGGGAGCTGGGAATCACATATTTGTTCATCTGGAATAACTGCTGAAATAGGAAAAGTGTACTTGGTATGGTGCAGTGTTGTAGAAAGAAAACGTTAAGATTCTGAAAGTGGTCCAGATAAATCTCTCTCATGCAGAGATCTTGTATTTCAAGCGTCCTTCTAGGGGTGAATATGAATTCTCAAGGTTGCCAGTGAATATACAGCTGGGGAAACAGTACTTACCTAATACATTAACTCACTCAAATACAGGAATAACTCAGCACTAGTTCATGAGTAGGTTAGCAGTCTGCCTCAAATACACATGGCTGGCTCTGAAATTGCCCCTTTAAAATACTCCAAGTTGTTGCTAAAACTTGCAGGAGAAAAGATTGTTGCTGTCTGGTATTTAGCATTTCTATCACCTCTTTTTATCCAAACCCAGATTTTGCAGGTTTGCATCTATTTTCATACAAGATGAATGGTAATTCATTGAAGACATGCATAGGATGCTAATATAAAATCAGCATGGTAAGTAGAGAACTCTTATGTTGCTTCTTAATGTTCCATTCCTTTTCTTAAAGGAATAAACTTCATCCATGAAGGGAAAATGAAATGTAAAGATTCTTAAATCAGTTCATCTTGAAGATATGTATTGACTACCATGTAGTAAGCCTAGTTTCTTGCAAAAAAAAGGAAAATAATTTGGGCAGCAAATTATGTTTAGAAGCTGACAAAAGTGTATGTAACTAGACAGGAAACTGCTTCCTCTTCATGAAAATTGATATTTCATTCTAATTCGGTGTGGACAGATCAAGTTTAAATTTTTCTTTTGCTTAAGCGTGGGAAAATGTGGTGCATTTTTAACTTAGTTCTAGCTTTTTGCCTTTCAGTTTTGAAAAGATGCAAGTTTGTCAGCAGTGAAAGATCTTCATAAACTATTCAAGAGAAAAGGCTTCAGATCAACGAAGTTTCTTGATTGTCATCTTTGGACCATTTTTATTAATCTTGACAAAATAATCATGCAATCAAATGTAATCAAAGTAAAACAAAAATGCCTTTTAGAAAGGTTACTATTTTGGAAGCAAAATGAGCAGTTTAACAACATTTGCTGCCTATATTATGAAGCCATCTTGATATCCCCAGCAGTTAGTTCATTTTTCTAGACTGAAATTTTGACAAGTCTTGAACAGTACGCAAGCCTAACAGAAGCTTTTTCTAGTTGGTCTATTCTATTGTGTAAGCTGTCTGAACTCAAGCAGGGTTAATTAACAGACATGGTAGGCACCAATACCTTAAATGTAATCTCTGCGTGCTGTTGTACAGTGGTGCTGTTGAATGCGGAAAAGAATGATGATAATACTTATGCATTCAAATTAGTTTTAACTGTGTTACTCCTCTAAGCATTAATTGGTCTGTATATCCTGAAGTGGTAATGGGGGCAACTGACAAAAGTCTTGGAAACTAGTACAGTGGTAAGTGAGATGGCCCACTCTTCCCTGAATTTATCTAAGGATTATTCATCCTGGATGTTCCTTTAAGCCTAAAGTGGGCCTTTGTAAAGACAGTGGCATTTTCTAAATCTGAAGTCCTTTTTTTTTAAATTTAAAAGCAACCAGCTTCAGCTTGAAGGCAACTACTACACTTTGCCTGAATTCACACTTTAAAATTGGCAGTTTGGCACTTCTGTAACTTGCACCATTTCTGACTGCAACATCTGGTTTTGAAAACCTTAATTTGGGTTTTGTTCTTTAGACGTAGCTAGGTTGAATCGTACCCTGTTCAGTCTCCCCTGAAACACAGCTAGTCTATTGGGACAAAACTGCAGTGCCTGCCAGATAAGCAAAGTGCAGTTAAGCACTTTCTTCTGCATGCGTGTTTCTTCTCTTAAGAGGTCTTCATCTCCAGCACTTCTGCAAGCCTCTGACACTGGCACCTCAGGTTAAAGAAAATAGTGCAGGTCTCATGTGAAAGTCCCACTTACTTTAAATGCTAAAATCTATACCTATTTTTTTCATCCTATTTGTGTAGCCTTACGTATTTAAATCCACCAGAGCAATTGATTAAAAATCCACTGCAAATGATGAAGACACTTATTTCAAGTAAAATGTCTGAAATTCCTCTATTGTGTATACCAAAAAGTAAATGCCGTCTTAGTAGCTATTGCTTGCTGAAGCCTGCTTTAAACTCAAATGACAGATCTGTAAGTCAGTCCTCTAACACTGTCTAGTCAGTGGGGTGTGGCAAAAAATGTATTATGGGCAAAAAAAAAAGAAAAAACTTGCCTATTGTATAGCTTAGTAGTAGAATATCTTCCTGTCAGAACTAGCAATGCTGACAGCTGCTGCTCTTGGCTAGTCTCTGCTGAGGAAACCGAGGCAGCCAGCTGTGTACTGACCTACAGAATGCAACAGACCAAAGAAATGAACTGGGTTGTGTGTTGGGAAGGTCTGCACTAGACTACTGAGATGAGATCAGGAAAGCAGTGGTTTTCTACAGGAGCTTAACTCATGAAAGCTTGAAAAACCTTGAATCTTGAGTGGAGATGCATACCTCTCTGCAATTCAGAGCAAAGCGTCTGATCCTGAAGATGGGCGAGGCTTACTTATTCACCTCATGTCTCAAAATTTCTTCCGGATTAGTTTAAGCCGTTTCCTTGGGCGTTACAGCTGTCTGAATCCTGTTCACAGCGTACAGCTTTTTTTGGGCATAAGTGAATGTTAAGTCTCTTAGAATAGCCATCCTTAAGAGATCTGAGATACAACTTGTGTTTTGAATCATTGGACGTTCTAGTTTCTTTAGGTTCTTCCTCACTGCTGGTGGCTTCTTCTCTAAATAAGTCTCTTTCAGTGGAATTCACAGTTGCTTTTGCATCTGATCATCTGAAGATGATGAGAAGGGCTGTCACTCAAAGCCACAAGAATTGTTTTTCTGTCTAGTGCTACCGCTAGGGAGGAGATTCTGCTGTCAGTTGTAAAAACAGTGTTACTGTGCAACTGTTCAGGTCCCACAGACGTACTTCACCTGGAAGAAATATTATTATATAATGTCTCTTTTATAGCTAATGCCATGATTAAAATAGTTTCAAATCATCCCTTTTGTACCAATATTCTGATTAGCCTGCAGTCTCAAAACGGTTAGAGGATTAGGGAATTCCCTAATTCCCTACAGTTGGCCAGGAAGCCATTGTCTTTTGTGAAAATGTTTCAAAAA